ATTACACCAAAAACACAAAATAATGTTCTTTTTAGCAGCATCATATGACCCCTTTAATACAGAACGTTAAATGGGGTAATACATTAAATAACAAATAAATAACAAAGCATATATTATATGCAAATATTAAACACTAAACATTAGTTTAATAAACAATAGTTTAGTATTAAATATTAAACGGCGAATGAATGTAGAAGACAAGATAAAATACTAATGTTTCTTAATAATTTTAGCAATCAAACCATAGAGAAAAACAATACAATGCATAGATATAAATAATTTGGTATGTGTAATATGAAAACAAATCATTATGTATTGGTTTTTTGACGTATGTATGCATTTGTTTGCTTAAAAGTGAACGTCCATTCATCAGCCTGTGTGCCGCCGTGTGTGTGACGTCACACACCCGCGACACATTAGTAAAAACAGAGTTGTGGATTTTTGCTCGAGTTTCGAAGTTGTAAATCTGATTAAAGTGGAGTTCTGTAGTACTGCCTAATACGACGCTGGGAATTACATTTCGGAGCTGACTGTAACCGCATAAGATCTGAAACATGTCAGACATCGTATTGAAAATGGAGATTAAAGAGGAGAGTGAAGACATGGGATATGAAGAAGCATACAGAACGAAAACTGAAGATGCAAAGGTGTTCAAAGATAAAGAAACCGGTTGGTGTCCAGTCTTTATTCTACATTAATGAATGCTGATGAATACTGAGGTAATTTGTAGTGTATTTTAAGACGTGCACAGCGATGCAGTAACTGGAGCTTTTGACAAAATGCTGAGGGCTTTTGTACTTAGGACAGATTTTTATATTATAGGTTATTTGTAGATTATTAGCTTATGATTCGAATGTCCATTATAAGTGAACTATAAATTCTTAGCTAACAAGGAAACTTATAGCAGGGTATGAACCCCGTCTCTGTTTTTTTTTTTTTATACATATAATAATCAGAACAAAAACTTGTCAAACCTTAAAATGACCTACAAACATATTGGCCATAACTGTAAATTGAATACACGTTCTGGTTTTCAAATATAAGCTGTAAATCTATTTCATTGTGAGAAAACTTAAAAGCAGTGAGTCACATTGTTCTATGACTGCTCTATGGATACTAACTGAAGTAAACTAAAAATTACATTTGTAATCACCCATGTTCATGTAGATTCAGCAGTAGGCATATATATATATATATATATATATATATATATATATACATACTGTATATGCACACACACACACACACACACACACATAAATGACAACTGTTAGTGGTCTCCCAGTGGTTTACATCATATGTAGTTTATGTTATGTGATTAATATACAACAAAAACAAAAGAGACCTAATGTTTTTGTCTCCAAAAGCCTTTTTTTTTTTTTTTTTTTTTTTGTTTTTTTTCATTTTTGACTGATTTTGGAATTTGTATTTCTTGTATTACAAATGTGTGGCTGTAATTGCTTTGCTTTGTAATACCATTCAATCTGACAATTTACACTCAAGTCAGCATGTCGACAGTCGGCATAAGGCTGTCATATTGTGTAAGGTGCTCAGTTTTTCAAAAACAAAAGGTTGATTTTAATTTATGGTTTAGAAATGTATTAAGTGAAAATATCAACTATGCCAAGGAATTGTTTACCCTCAGTTATCAAACTAATGCAAACTCTGAATCACACTTTTCAAAACCTCTTCAGAAGCATTCACTGGACTTAAACTGCCAAAATGATCTTGCATAATGAAATTGAACCAGCTCAGTACCAATGCATTTTCCGCAAGTTGGGACAAATGCAAAGAAATTGTGGGTGACTGGAAGAAGCAAAGGATACACTTGATGGATTCTCCAAAATATGGCGAATGTGGGATTCGAAACTAAGGCTGTATTCCAAGGATCCTTCGACAGCTTGATGACCTGGCCAGTGAGGTATGCAGCCTTACTAGGATGCAGCTGTCCGAATGAGAAGCACCCAGTGTCACTGTTATAGAAACAACTATAAAAGTAATGTAAAACTTATGCAGTTAGGACGGGGTGGGCAAAATTGAGATTGTTCAAATGAAGATCGCAGTTCATCTGGAAATATTTACCCAGGGCAGTCCCATTCATTGTAATGCCAAAAGAAATTACAAATAAATTGAAAGACCAAAATACAAATAGAGTGCTGTTAAATGTATAATCCTGATTAAAAAAAATTTCAATTCAGTTTATTAGTATAATTTAGTATATTAATAGTAATTTAGTATTTGTCTTGCAGCCCACATTGACATGACACTGACAGTGGTGAGGAGAAACATAAAATACTTGTATAATATATTCTTTCAAGTATAACATTGCATGAATTCTAAAATAATTAGATTTTTTTTTTTTTCACAAAACAAAGTTGTAATTAAAAACAAATAAAAAAAAGTGCTATCAATAGAGTAATGACTGTTAATCACATGATTTTCATGTAATAATGCCATGGTTAATAAAGCAATATCACACAAGCAAGAGTGCAATTTTTCATCACAAAGTTTATAAATGATCAAGCAGTGAATCAGTTCTATAATAGTAAGATATAGATATAATAAGATATAATAATAAAACATTATGCCAAACTGCTTAAAGTTTAAAATTTTTCTTAGGTTTTTTTTTTATTTTATTTTTTATGGTAAAGACAGTTATATCATCAGTTATATATATATATATATATATATACACAGTGGTGTGAAAAAGTGTTGGCCCCCGTCCTGATTTCTTATTTTTTTGCATGTTTGTCACACTTTAATGTTTCAGATCATCAAACAAATTTAAATATTAGTAAAAGATAACACAACATGCAGTTTTTAAATGAAGGTTTTTATTATTAAGGGAAAACAAAATCCAAAACTACATGGCCCTGTGTGAAGAAGTGTTTGCCCCCTAAACCTAATAACTGGTTGGGCCACCCTTAGCAGCAACAACTGCAATCAAGCGTTTGCGATAACTTGCAAATCAGGAAGGGGGCCAACACTTTTTCACACCACTGTATATATATATATGTATATTTGTACTTTATGTCCCCCCCAAAATTAAAAAATTTATTTATTTTTAAATTTTAAAAATGAGTTTTAACTCAGAAATTAGGAATGCATTGCTAGATTATGTTAGATGTTTTAATGTTTTAAGACATAAAAGATTGTGTACAATAGATACTGGTCACTTTTATTTCCTTTCATATTTGTCTCTTTTAAAATGATTTTGAAAGTTTCATATTTTCATTGTAGATCTGATGGAACTCAAGGAGAAACGTCCAGAATCATCGGTGGAGGAGAAACATCAGTATCATTTCACAGCTGGAGAAAATAATCTGAGCTGCTCACAAATCTCTATCACTTGCCTGCAGTGTGCAAGGATTTTTGCCAGTGAAGGAAATCTTAATGCACATATAAAAATTCACACTGGAGAAAATCCTTTCACTTGCCTTCAGTGTGGGAAGAGTTTCCCATTTAAAGGAAGACTTAATGTGCACATAAGAATTCACACTGGAGAAAAAGCCTTTCATCCCTGCAGTGTGGGAGGAGTTACCAGTGTCAATCATACTTTAAGCAACACATGAGAACTCACGCTGGACAGAAGTCTTTTACCTGTATCCAGTGTGGAGTTTAACCTTTATGGCACACATACGAATTCACAGTGGAGAGAAGCCAAGGAAAGAGTTTCACATATAAAGAAAAGGTTAAGTCGCACTGGAGAAAAGCATTTTTATGTCATTTGTGTGGGAAGGCTTTCGCATCGGCAAAGTTTAAAAAAACATCAATCACTTTGCTTTGAGGTCATTTAACTGTGAAAAGTGTGATTCAAATCTTACTTTGGCATCAGCTCTTAAGTAAATTTATTTTTAATTATTTAAATGTTTATACAGAAAAGTTATATGAACCAAAGAGTACTTATCTAATCACTCAGCACATGCATTTAATCTTTATCTTTGATAAGTTCATTCACTCAGGACCAAATGATGTTATGTATGTTAGTAATGTTTCGTTATTCTTATATATTTTCCTTTAAGGGGCAGGAGTACCATGATGCTGTTTTACAGTGTTCATATGTCTAAATGTGACTCTGATATGTCTAATAAATGTTGATCCTGAGGACTGCAGTGTTGGTTTGGAGTTTTATTAGAAAGCTTCTCTATATCAGTCAATAAATTAAGTAAAACTGTGATGTATTGGAAATCTGTTGGCTATTTCTCATAATTCCTGCCATGGAAGTTTATGTGTAACTATAATCAATTATGTAACTGGGCGAAAACTTTCAGTTGAAATGTGGAAGCATGATGCTTGTGGAATCACATGTATGAACATATGTTTATAGACTGGTGTTTCAGTCATTCTGTCATTTATTAATTCATTTATATATATATATATATTTTAAATAAAGGAACAATTTTAAAATAGAGAAAATTCTGGAGACAGTCTTCTTTTAGCATATTGTTTTGGTAAAAAAAATAATCACTGTTTTACACTGATTTTTTAAGTTAAAAAATGTTTTTTTTTTTTTATTTGTATTTTATTTTTTGACAAAATTATTATATACAGTTGTTTTACGTACAATATTGAACCTTATTATAAGTCTCCAAAATATATTTAAAATAACAATCTTAAAACCAACAACAACTGAGAAACAATGAGAAAAAAATATTTTCTTAAAATTGGCATCTTAATAAACAATTTATATGTCTTAACACATACCTTGATTTACTCATAAATTTAAAATCTTTGTTCAACGTGTAAAAGCAGCAGTATATTGAACGTCATGCTAAGCGTTTGTCATCTCATTTACGGCTGTTAGTCTCATGACTATTTTTGTTTTTTATAAATCTAAGAGATTAAATTACAGAGTTGAATTCAGCAAGGAAAAGTGTAAGACACAAAAAGGACTTACACCATTTTTGCTTATGGATAAAGAATTTTGCATACAAAATAAAGAAATTAACAGCATATTCAAAAGAAACGTGTTTTGGGTTTTCATAATAACAAATAATATCTTGGAAGGCAAAATGGTACACCGCATTCATAGTGCCAAAAATATAAAAACTTAAATCAACCCAAAATTTGTTAGTAATGCTACAATCAAAAAATAAATGGGCAGCTGTTTCTTCTATAAGACCACAAAATGAACAGTTGTCATCAGTGTCAGAATATTGGGATAGATTTTGTGAAGGATTTTATAATGGACTTCCTTAACCTTGTTAGATATACAAAACTTACTGGGCAAAAGCCAAGCTTTTTTTCCAAATTATATCAGTTATAAACGAATTCCAATAGAATTTACCTCTTGGAGTAATCTTTCTTTTTTCTTGAAAAAGCTTTCAAATATGTCTGTTGTTACACTTCTTATCTAAAAAGTTAATGCCACCCAAAAACAAAACAGGATGCACAACATTACCCTTACTATACATTAAGTGATTTCTAACTAATTGAATTAAACCTGTTGGTATAGCTTTTATTAATGTATTGTATTCTTTTGGTGGAACAGGGAAGCCATGGCGATTAAGAAATTGCCCATAAGTTAAAATATTGCCAACATCATCTAACACAGATTTTCCAAAGCTTTAGGTAACTGCCTTTTATCCTCCAAAAACAATGTGGTGTCATTGGCTAGCTGCACAATTTTAACCTCCTTGTCAGAAATAGAGATTCATTGTGGTTAATGCTCAGGCAAAGTAACTCTGTGGCTAAAAGAAACAAAAACGGGGAGATCGGACAGCCCTACCTAACTCCACAATAGATGTCAAATCTCTTAGAAATGTCAAAATGTACAATCACAGAACTATTAATACCCCTATAAAAACATGGCTATAGTATCATTAAATGATTTACCAAATCCAACCATCTCTAAGGCACTGTGTGCATCTCACTGGGTGCAGCCATGATTGTGTGACGTCATACTCCCGCGTGTCGAAAAAATCAGAGCAGCTGTGGATTTTTCTGCACGAGTTTCCAAGTTGTAAGTTGGTGCTCTATTGTACTTCCAAATACAACGCTGGGAATTCCGGGTTCGACATAGCACAGCATAACTATGTCTGACATATGTGTGAAAACAGAGTTTATTAAAGAGGAGAGTGAAGACATGGGATATCAAGAAGCATACAGAACGAACATTGAATATACAAAGGAAAAGAGTGGTTGGTGTTCATTCTTTTTTCCCATTTTTCATTAATGATTTCTGGTGAATATTAAGGTAATTTTCATGCAGTACACAATAGAGAGAAATGATGTGCATGCTACCGTCTCAGGATTTGCCTCTGTCTCAGGATACTTTGAATACTGATTTGTTTTTACTCAGGATTCAGATGGTAACTCCTAAGTTTGTGAGGCTTTATTTATTTATTTATGATTATTATCATTTATTTCTTTGGAATGATTTAAGAAAAGAATGGCTTATAAGAGTCAATTGGTCATGAACTACACTGGTTGTGCTGTCTTTTTGATTCACCAAAAACAACCGGTTTAAGAGAGTCAGTTTGTTTGTGATCCATACTGCAGTTATCTTATCTGGACAATGTTATTGCGTGCAGCCCATGAGGACAACGAGGACAAGACACAATTTCTTGTCATTATTTTGTGGAGCACATCCTTTTAATATTTTAATAGATTCGATTCGGACTAAAACTAGAACTTGTGAAAGTTTGTGAAAACTTGTGGCTGTATTCAGAGTGCAAGAAACACTTATAGATTAAAAGCAACAACAAAAGCTGTCACATGGTGCATATTTTCCTCACACCTTGAATGCACGCAAGTGTACACATTTTAATTATTATTATTTAAAAGAAAACCTTTAGCCTGCATTTTCAATATGAAAACTATTTATAATTCATAAATATCATTAGGTTCTGGGAAATCACACTATGTGACATGTATATAGATAGATAGATAGATAGATAGATAGATAATGATATCAGGACAGTTGTATCACATTTTAACTAAAATCAAAGTGAAAAAATGCTCATCGTATGTAGGGCTGCACGATAAATCGAAATGGAATCGAGATCGAGATTCAACAGAAGCTGTGATTGTCATGCGTATCTTTCAGTGAAGCACGGTTCTGTGATCAGCAGTTTACGAAATTAATAGAACAAAATATTGCCCCACAACAAATGTTAGAAGCATCAAGATTTGGATGCATTAACTAGACCTTTTATATTAATCTTAGTAAAGAAAAAAAGAAAGAAAGTGAAAAAATAGATACTGAACCCCTTATATTGAATACTTGTCCTTTTTAAACTGTTTTTTTACAATTTGATATTCTATTCTAGATTTGATGAGAATCAAAGAAGAAAGTCAAGAACTGAATGAAGTGGAGGAGAAACATCAGTATCAGAAACCTAATCACTTCACAACTGGAGTAAATGGTTTGAACATCTTAAAAATTGAAAAGAATTTCTCAGAAACAAGAACGGAAGCAAAAAAATCGTTCACCTGCCTTCAGTGTGGAAAGCATTTCACCACTAAAGGAAACCTTAATGTGCACCTCAAAATTCACACTGGAGAGAAGCCTTTCACTTGCTGTCAGTGTGGGAAGAATTTTGCCACTAAAGGAAATCTTAATGTACACATTAGAATTCACACTGGAGAAAAGCCTTTCACCTGCCTTCAGTGTGGGAAGAGTTTCCCATTTAAAGGAAGGCTTAATACACACATAAGAATTCACACTGGAGAAAAGCCTTTCACCTGCCCTCATTGTGGAAAAAGTTACCCGTGTAAAACATACCTTAACAGGCACATGAAAATTCATGAAGCCCAGAACCCTTTCAACTGTGCTCAATGTGGAAAAAGTTTCACAATGAAAGAAGGCTTGAAACGTCACATGAGAATTCACGCAGGAGACAAATCTTTCATGTGTCCTCATTGTGGGAAGAGTTTTATGCATAAGAGAAACCTTGACTCGCACATAAAGATTCACAATGGAGATCGATCTTCACCATGCGTTGAGAAAGGAAAGAGTTTTGTTAAGGATAACACAAAAGTAAATATTGAAAGGAAATCATTCACATGCTCTCAGTGTGGCAGGAGTTTCACAGATAAAGAAACCTATAATGCACACTTGAGAATTCATATTGGAGAAGAGCTTTTCAGATGCAGCCATTGTGGGAAGAGTTTCCCATGTGAAGAATATCTCAACAGACACATGAAAGTCCACACTGGAGAACAGCCTTTCACCTGCTCTCAGTGTGAAAGTTGTTTCACAGACAAAAGAAGCCTTAAGAAACACATGAGAACTCACAATGGAGAAAAACCATTCACGTGTTCTCAGTGTGGGAAGAGTTTTACACGTAAAGAAACCTTTAATGCGCATGTAAGAGTTCATAAAGGAGAAAAGCCTTTCAGATGCCTTCAGTGCGGAAAGAGTTACCCATATGACCGATGTCTTAAGAGGCACATTAAAACTCACGCTGAGGAGAAGCCTTTCACCTGTTCTCAGTGTGGAAGAAAATTCACAGAGAAAGGAAGCCTTAAGATTCACATGACGATCCACACTGGAGAGAAACCTTTCGGATGCTCGCAATGTGGGAAGAGATTTAGACGTAAAGGAGGACTTAATGAGCATACGAGAATTCACACTGGAGAAAAGCCGTACACATGCCTCCAGTGCGGAAAGAGTTTCGCTGTTAAAGGAGGGTATAATTTGCACATGAGAACTCACACTGGAGAAAAGCCCTTCGCTTGTCATCTGTGTGGGAAGAGTTTCATACTAAAAGCAATACTTCATATGCATATGCGAGTTCACACTGGAGAGAGGCCTTTCGTGTGCGTTCACTGTGGGAAAAGATTCAGACGGAAAGTAAACCTTAATCTGCACACCAGACTTCACACTGGGGAGAGGCCTTTCATGTGCCAGCATTGTGGGAATACTTTCACGTGGGCAAGAAGTCTCAAACAACACGTATCGCGCTTTTGTAAGTTAATTCAGCGCTGATCATTATGGTACACATTTTTAATTGAGCAGCAGCCCTTAAAACACACTTGAAAAATCCATGCAAATGAGAAGCCTGTCCTTTAGGGAAAGTGTTTTAAAGAGAACAAGGTAAAACATTGATTTGAGTGCTCATGTCTGCTTGGAGAGTAAAAAGGCATCAAGGAACAGTGACTTGGGATGTCACCAAAGAATCCTTACTGGAGAAAGTCCAAGTGTTCGTATTGTGGAATGATTTGAATCCATTCAGGATTAAATGTAAATGTTCACTAGAGAAGATGTACAACTTCATAGTTAGTTTGCAATATAAATGTTATGTCATTGATGTGAAAGTGTATGATAAGTGCCCTTTTTGTATTTGTAAATAATGATCAAGATGTATACACAGCGTATTATGAAAATGTTATGTTTACTTGATGGTTACACCACATGACATTTTAGTCGTTAAATGTAAACTTTTGTTGAAAGTGGTTAAACCATCCCTAAAACCACATGAAATTAAAGGGATAGTTCACCCAAAAATGAATATTACCCCATGATTTACTCACCCTCAACCTATCCTAGGTGTATAAAGTGGTGTGAAAAAGTGTTGGCCCCCCTTCTTTCAGACGAATACAATCGGAGTTATATAAAAGAAAATGTCCTGGCTTATCCAAGCTTTATAATGGCTGTTGAGATTTTGAAATCCAATAAAGTGCATCCATCCATGCCTCTGGGTGGTTCACATGCTTAAATGTGATGTAAACTTTCTGGTTTGTGAATGTTTATACCTCTGGATTGGGCATCTATATTTCTGCATTTCAGTCATATAAGTAAAAACAGATTTTCTGAAACAATTTTTCCTTTCTCTTTGGAGTGTTACAAGCACTTGGTGCATAAAGAAGATCTGTAAAGTTGCAAAGACTAA